GGTTTGCAGGGGCGGCACTGCTGCTATGGTGGGTCAGATAAAATGGCTTGGCGGGCCGCATGTTAGACAAGCCTGACTTAGAGGTTCCCTGGGGCTTTAGCCAGGTGTAGGGATTTTGGTTTCAGTCAGTGCCAGTGTGCGGCTTACTCATTGGTGATGACAGCATCCCTCTAAAGCAAAGACCAGCAACCTTTTAGAGTGATGGGCCATCCCTTACAACCTGGCCACCATTGTGGGCCACTGCTTCCCTCCATATTGCCATCTTCTGCAGCACCTGTGCCCCCACTGCCGTCTCTGCCACGTGTCACTGCTCCCCAGTGCCACTGGGGATAGGAGTTAGAGGCATGCTTGTGTCCTGGGACAGTGAGCAATAGCTGCTGCTGCTGCAGAGACAGGTGTAAGTGGCTGTGTAGCAGTTGCCAGCAATGTATATGCCCAGGAGAGGACAATGGGGGGAATTAACCCTCTGACTGCACCCACACTTCCCGCAGCAGTGTCTTCCATAGCCAGAGCCTTGTACCCCACCACCTCCATTCTAGTGTTCCACTTCACTGACTGCCAGGTTGCCCCAGTTGCCTGCTCATAGGCTACTGTTGGGGAAGGCTGAATTCAGTAGCAGCAGTAAGTAGTGCCTCCTGTTGGGATGAAGGGGGAGGGAGAGCAGGGAGGGCTGCACAGGGGTGCACTGCACAGGGGTGGAGAAAGGGGATGCATCAGGGTGAGCTGTCTGCCACTGACGCTTTTGTCACCATGAGCTGGATCTAGTTACTTTACAGGCCAGATCCATCCTGCAGGAGCCCTGCTGAGCCCTGTCCTAAAGCTTCTATGTTCAGTCCAGGGCTGTGGGACAAAGGACACTATATTACAAATAAAGTTACTGTTGTTTTCTCTGTGGATTAGTATCCCGTGTTACAGCCAAACAGTTTTTAAGGATTTGTCAAGTCTGAAAAGACAAGCGACCCATCTGGGGTGTCTAGCCACTGCTACACCTGTTAACTTTCCTTCCAGTTGGGCTGACCAGATGTCTGGATGGAAGCAATGGACTTAAGAGCTAAGGCTGGGATTTTCAAGGAAGCCTTGAAGGAGTTAAGTAATTGAGTGTCAAACTCCTTGTGAAATGCCAACTTTAGAGTAGTTCTGGATACCTTCTGGGTGGTGTTTTCAGAAGCACTTCAGTGGTTTAGGAACCCAAGTTTCAAAGAAAGCTGGAAGTGACGGGAGCAAAAGCCCCTTAGATGTGTTTAAAAAGGTGCCTTTTGATGTTGCAATGCATCTCTGGTGTTAGCTGACTACCTTCTGTCTGGGCTGGCCAGGGACACCAGCTCAAAATCCAGTCTGAAGTGAATTCCCTTCCACTTAAAAGGCTTGAGAACAGACTCCTAATGTCTTCAGGATCTACTGTGCTTTCCTTATGGACAGGATGCTAGAACTTGCGAATACAAGATCACAAACTGGTCTGAAATCTTCTGCTCACCTATGTTGGATTTTGCGGTTCCCAGGAGCACAATGAGGAGAGATGATGTGCAAACAGAAGCCCTTAGGAGCTACGTCCAGACCCTTTTCTCAATGTCCTTTTTCACTGTCACTCTGACCCTTCCCTCTGCCCCTTCAAACTACCTCTTAGACTTCAGGCAACTTGGTCCAATTCTACCCTCAGAAGTTTGCCCTGGCAGTCAGCCACCCTTGGGGCACCTGAGGGCAGACTCTGGACTTGCATCTGACGTAGCATCACAACTTCAGACATTTTGGGATCAGAATGGGATGCTGGCTTGAAGGGAGCAGTTTCAGGAGGAAATTTCTGTGGGCACAGACTGGTAGATGTCTATCAGGAGAGCTAATTTATGGAAATAAAAATAATTTTTCAAACCAAAGAGCCCCCTGGCTGCACATGTCCCCTCTTTTGGACTCTGTTGTAACCAGCTTAGAAGGGAGAACTCCACAAAGATATTCTGTATGTGTGTGGAGGTGGGTATGTATGTTTTTCAGTGGAGGGGAGTGCCGCATTAGGATTGGGCTGCCAGCGAAACTAAAATGGTTCTTTTAAACATGAACACAGAAAGCAAGTGTTGATCCCCGGGACCTTCCAGAAATAGAAAAAGGAGTGAATGACAACCAATCAGGCAGTAGGCTTCCCACATGTGCATCGTTCTTCCCATTGCCTGCAAGGCAGGTCACAGAAAAGAGACTGGTCACCCTCTCTGAAGAGCATGGGGCTCCAGAAACCCTCTGAGGGCTGGAAGCACACCAAAGAGACCAGGTAGGCCAGGGGTGGGCAAAACACGGCCCACGGGCTGGATCCGACCCACAGCTGCTCCCCTCCCCCCCCCCCAGGGCTCCCTGCCCACTCATGCCAGGACAGCCGCACCAGGCTTCTCCTGGCTCTCACCGGTCCAGGCCCTGGCCAGCCTGCAGCTTCTGGCTGGGCTGTTCCTGGTGTGGCTGCAGCTGGGTGCTGCTCTCTGTATTCCCTGCCTCCAGCAGCGGCTCCTGCTTCTGATCTTGCTCCTGCTGCACCACACCATGCCATGCTGCGCCGCTCCAGGTGAGCAGTTTAAGCCAGGCAGCTCCTACCCCAGTGTGCAAGGCTCCAGCTTCAGCTCCTGGCTGCCTTCCAGCTGGAACCAGAACTTTATGCACCTTCCAGGAGCAGTGCAGCATGGCAGGAGCAGGAGGAGGAGCTGCTTCTGGAGGTGGGGT